TTGGGCCAATCACCAGGAGACGGTGAGTTCTAGTCCCGCCTTAGGCATGAAAGCCGGCTGGGTGACTTTGGGCCGATCACCAGGAGAATTCTGGGAACTGAAGTCCACAAGTCTTCAAGTTGTAAAGTTTGGAGACCTCTGAAATAAATCAATGGACTCAAAGTTAGCCTAGAACTTTGGAGGCAGTTCAAGTTTTGTGGCAAAAAAAAAAGGGAGAGAGGGGGACACAGCCCAGCTCCATGTTTTAATCAGGTAAGTTTCTGATTTACAATCTTAGTTGGGCCCAAAATCTCCATTGCCAAGCAAAGCATTTGGCGAGCGAGTTGTGCCTCATTTTACAAACTTGTTTGGCATCGTGGTTAAGTGAATCCCTGCACTCCTTAAGCGAATCTGGCTTCCCACGTTGACTTTGATTGTCAGAAGCCGGCTTGGAAGGTCGCAGATAGGGATCATATGACCCCAGGACAGTGCAACTGTCATCAATGCAGGTAGTCCTCCATTTACAACAGTTTCGCTTAGTGGCCATTCGAAGTTACAACGGCCCTGAAAAAAAAAAGTGACTTAGGACCATTTATCACACTTACGACCGTTGCAGCCTCCCCGCGGTCACGGGATTTACATTTGGATGCTGGACCACTGACTCACACTTATGACGGTCACAGTGTCGTGGGATTCACGTGATCCCCGTTTTGCGAACATCCGACAAGCCAAGTCCAGGGGAGAAGCCAGATTCGCCTGAACGACCTTGTGACCAATTGAACAACTGCAGCGATTCGCTTAACAACGGCGGCAAGAAAAGTTGTAAAATGGGGCCAAACCCCACTTGACAAAATTTCCCACTTGGCAACGTAAAACTCTGGGCTCAATTGTGGCCATTAAGTCGAGGACTGCCTGGACATGCCAGCTGCCAAGGGTCTCAAGAGCCTGGAGAGGCCGTGATGGTCCTAAGCATGTGAGGACCGATCTGAAGTCACTTTGGTCAGCAACGTCGTAACTTTGAACGGCCGTAAGTCGAGCACGACCAGCCCCTGTTGAAGCCGATGGTTTCTCTCTTCACAAAACCACCCACATTTGATGACCCGACAAAAAAAGGAGCCAAGAGGAAATCAAAGAACTTACGCAGGGACCAACGATGCTCTTAACATTGTGGAAGCCTGTGATTTGAAGGAGAGAGAGAGAGAAAAAAAAGTCAGGATATATAAACAGAGCAAACTTTGCTTAGAAATTATGCCAGCGTTCACTCCCAGGAGCATTAAGTCGTTTGTTATAAGGAGCGTGCCTTATTATGGAACTGGACTTTCTAATAAATAGGCCAAATACCTGGGCTTCCATTGGAAGGCTTTTTTGGGGTTGGGGAATTGAAAGGAATTGGTGTAATCCACCAGGATCATTAGGGAACTGGAGGCTAAAACATACAGTGGACGGTTGCAGGAACTGGGCCAGGCTAGTCTAGGGAAGAGAAGGACCAGGGGAGACAGGAGAGCATCTTCCAATATTTGAGGGGCTGCCCTAGAGAGGAGGAGGAAAGGGGTCAAGCTATTCTCCAAAGCATTTGTAGGCCAGACAAGGAATAATGGATAGAAACTGAACAAGGAGAGATTCAACCTGGAAATAAAGAGAAACTTTCTGACAGGGAGAACAATCCACCCATGGAACAGAAGTTGCCCTCAGAAGTTGTGGGAGCTTCATCCCTGGAGGCTTTCAAGAAGAGATTGGACTTCCCTCTCAGAAATGGTGTAGGGTCTCCTGCTTGGGTGGCGGGGTTGGACTAGGTGGGTGCAGAGGGTGGATTTGTAATTAGTATTTTTTACTTATTGCAAAGAAACCCAGAACATTCAGATACGGGATTCCCCAGATGCGCCAGTTTACTACCCAAATAAAACAGAGCTTTGGAGAGGGGTGTCTGTCTCGGAGTGATTGCTTTTGGAGTGGAAGTTTTCTGGACCGCGGACATCCCGGCCTTTTGGACATTCTCCCCCCGCACAATGGCCTCCTCCTTCCCTTTCCGTGGCTGCTTCTCTCATCGGTGCCCATGAGAAGCCACCCAGGCTGGGAAAGGCCAGGACGACAAAAGCAGGGAAATGTCAAAAAGCCAGATTACGTTACTCCTGTTTCCGCATACCGTCGCGATGCTCCGGCCGCCACAAAGCTACGCTGTGTAACACGAGAGCATCGTTCTCACCGACGGGGGGCCGGGGGGGGGGAAGAGCGCGGTGGGGGAAGCCGTTTCAAAGGTGGCGTCCATCAATAGGTGATGATGGGGATGATACCCAATAGGCAATTGAATAGCCGCCCGGGTGGCACAATGCTGGCCATTCATGGCGTGACCGGTTGCACAGATAAGATTGGGTTCTATCTCGCTGCGTTGATCTGTCACTCATTTTGATTTATGTCCCTGGGTACTTTTGCAATAATGACTTCCCCACCCCCCCCCCCCCCCCCCCCCCCCGCCAAATCTCCCCTGTGGTTCTTAGGAGGCC